AAAATAACACTTCGAATAAAGATTCGAGAATACTAAAAATATCCGTTTCAAGTTGCCAGACTCATGTCGCTTGTTTGAAAGGCACCACTAAAAGTGAATCTCCCAATAATGAGCAAGAAAAATTTTCGTGTTTAAACGCGGTCTAAGATGCTTTGACTACAGATAAATACAATATTATGATTAAAAATAAATATAATTATTTTTATGCTGTTCTCACAAAATATATACACAATTCGATACTCACTTCATGTGCACATACATGTACATATCTATATATACATATTGCATTAATATAATTATATACTAATGAGTACATATAAGTAACTAATACATACTCATACAGTTTAAATATAAAAATTGCAGAACTTTTACAGTTATTTATTCCTGCTCATAAACACTATCGAAAAGTTAACATTAATCATGTGTTTATAACGGTATTACGACGTTACATATTTCAATATATAACATATATACGTATGTATATGATAATTCGTACTTACATAAGTCTAGTATATGCATACATATAAATATTAACTACAGTGTTTAGCGCATAATTGCAATAAAAATATTTATGCCAGTGTAGATATTTATTGATTATGCTATAGTCACATAATCGCTTAATTTCAAAGAGATATATAAACTACACACGAGTAAAGTTATATAATTATAATTATATATGTATAGATATATATATAATATATGTAAGTATATGTTTTTTATAAATGTATGTATGTATATTACAGGCTAAATAGCAATAATTAATATCACTGTGGTAATTTTAACAGGCGAGCCATGCGACTCTGATATGTATCGTTACCTTGGTTGTGTCTTATGTTTAAGAATCGTTATCCGCCACACCGACTTTGTGAATTCAATCGGCAACACATCAACGTTTTTAATTGATATGTAGACATGTGCGTCATATCGTCCAGGTGCAATGTCGGCTTGTGGCGTCAAACTTAAACTAAACACATAATTGAACTGAGGATTTTTTTTGTTCTTGTGTTTGTTTTATTATACCTAGAAAGACAAACGTGCGCTTCGGTACGGCAGCAGCACTTCACAATGACACCCGAAAGATTTTTGTGCAACTTTTGATATGTAAGCGATATTGATGCCATGTGGGGTTAGCGCTGTCGGTGCAGCACCGAATCGCCAGTTCGTCGTACTTACATACATAAATACATGCTAATTTTTGTTACTCGTAACTTCCGATTTCATTTTCGTTCTACGCTTTGTCATTATACTAGTATGTCTAACTGGTAATCTTTGGTTTTGCTAGCTTCATTGTTTATATACTTTTCCATATAATCCATATAATTTACAAACAAAAGTGTTTTTTTCTTTTGAAAATTTTAACAAATATATTGCGGCTGACATGACTGAAGTTTTCACAGAGGAATCATTACAACTTCATAAATAATACATTTATGTAAATGGATAATTTTATAAATTTCCATAACTAAGTCAACGCTCAGTAGAACTTGGTAATGCGTCATGTGTTGAAGACTTCACCGCTTCACCTATTTTTAGTAACGGCCGTGTTTTTAGCATGACGACGTAACATTTAACACCTCCAACGACTATTCAGTACATGTTCCATATACAGTATGTCAAGGATTTCTTCACACACTGAAAATTTACAGCATTTTTTTTACTTTGCATAGAAAAACAAACACCTTCTGTTAAATTTTATCTTAATTTGTTAACGTAGAACTGTTGAATAGAATGTGCTTAGTTAATAAGTACAAAAACAAAATATTGCAAGGTTAAATATTAATTCAACAAAATAGTAGTTTACACATTTTTGACACTTTCAAGAAACTCTTTACATACTTTGTTTTTTTTTTTTTTGTGTGTGTGAAGAAAAAAACGGTACCTTTACCGCTATCTATGAGTTTGCAATCATCAGTTTTTTGAATTCTTTCTCATTTAATTGTGAAATATTGATGAACGCGTGTCATAAATCGACTTTTTACAGTTTTTAAAATGCCGGGAAAAATATTGACCTTCGATGTAGTCTAATTGATTTATTACAATCACCAACTGGGAAAATCTGCGGCAGAATTATCAAAAATGTTTTGTGTCTCCAGAAAGGCATACGTGAAGCAAAAGGTGGAGGTGGCCGCAAGAAAAAGATTTGCAAACGGGATAACCGCCTAATCATGCGTAAGATCGACCAAAATCCCCGAATTTCTACCAGAACCCTTGCCAAAGAGCTGGAAGAAGAGTGTGGCACAGTCGTTTCACACGAAACAGTACGCCAAGCAATTCTGCGGCATAAGTACACTTCAAGAGTTGCTCGAAAGAAACCGCTGCTTTCCCAGATAAATGCTGAAAAACGTTATACTTTTACTGTTAACATGGCCAGCATGCCAGCAAATTATTGTGATGATGTCATTTTCTGTGACGAAACTAAAATCATGCTGTATTATAATGATGGACCAACTAGAGTTTTGCGCAAGGCATTAACAGCGTTGGATCAGCGCAACATCATTCCGACTGTTAAATTTGGAAAATTGTCGGTTATGATTTGGGGATGCATCAGCAGCAAAGGGGTCGGAGAGCTGGCATTTATAGAAAATACTATAAATGCTTAGTAGTATCTTTCAATTTTCAAGACCCATTTGAAGCAGAGTGCCGAAAAATTTGGGTTTATTGCCGACAATAAGCCTACATTTAAATTTTACCAGGATAATTACCCCCCGCATAAAGAGCTTAATGTGTGGACTTGGCTCCTTTATAACTTCCAAAAGATGATTGACACACCTCCCCAGAGCCCGGACCTTAACACAATAGAAAATTTTTGGACAAACTTGAAAAAAAAGTGACAAAAAGGCAATCCAAAAATCGAACAAAGCTGAAAACGGCAGTGATTGAAGAGTGGCAAAAGATACCCTCTGAATATGACGTCCAAAAGCTAGTTAATTCCATGAAAAAACGCCGCCAGCACCTAGTTAATGCTAAGGGAGGTCATACCAAATATTAAAATTATATTAAGATAGTATAAGTTATTAAATATGTTTATTAAACCGTAACTAAAGCACTTTGTGTAAAGAGTTTTTTGACAGTGTCAAAAATGTGTAAAGTACTATATTTTTGCTTTATTACTTTTCCTTGAATTGTTTGTTTTTGTTTTTGCGCTTAATAATTAATCTTATTCTATTTAATAGTTTTACATTACAAAAAATGACAAAATTTAAGAGAAGGTGTTTTTTTTTTTTTTTGTATACAAAGTAGAAAAATGCAATAAATTTTAAATGTGTAAAGAGTTCTAAGAGAGAATATCTCCTTTGAACTTTAAGTACGCTGACCATACGCTCATGACTAATGAGAGATATCTCGACTCCTGAACTCTTTTATCGATTTACTTCATGATTAGACTGATTTGTGCCAGACCACAGCGTAATTGTAGCAAACTACAAGGCTGATGAACTTACATGGTGAGATACTCAGTCTCATCAGCTGCAGAATGGTAACTACTGAAGGGTTGAAACCCAAACCTGCGCTGTGTTGATCAGATACTACCAACTGTGTAATCGAAAAGTTTTGTTAAAACGTAAACAGCCCAGTAAGTTACTCGTCCTCAGCAAAGTTCGTATTATATTTCAATGGTTATAAAAGTTCTAACTGGACACTGCTAGATCGGAAATCATGCGATAAGATTGAAAATTGTATCGAATGTTAGGTTAGATGGTTTCCTTTCCTTGCTAGGTCAACAGTTTTACAGTTTCCCCGATTCTGCTGTGGTCAGTCCTCCATGCTAGTCTTATTACAAAGACACTCGATGCCATTGATAGCGGGGTTAGACACTCTTCGCCCAGCCTTGAACGCACTGCTAATGAGTTCAAGGCTGGTATCACTGGTATCGCCACACTGTTATCTAAGTGAATGGTCACTTCTCTGAAGGAGGCTTCTGGGAAGAAAATCTACTTCTACCTTAATATCACAAAAGTTTGTATCTAGCGGTTCAATTGTGAATCCTTCGTCATTTTGGGGGATCGCTATCTAAAATAACCTAATTGTCGCTTGAAGAATAAAAGAAAATATCTGAAAAAAGACACTTGTAAGGTACAATTTTTAGAAATGATTCTTTTACTTATGAATAATCAGTTTTTCCATCGTATGAAAGGTGAAATATGCTTTCATTTCTTTAAATAGCAAATTAAATTAGATTTGAAGACTGCGCTTTATACAACTTGTCTTGTGTTAGGGCCAATCAGTGTTCTATTTTCTACTTCAGAACGAGTAAATCAATCCTTTGTCTAAACTTCAGTCATATGTCGTCTGACGAAAATTATGAACTTAATCTTTGTATGCACTTTTCGCAACAGTCATACACAGGTATGACACATTTTTGTCATGACAGGTTCTAGGCTAATTCCATAACCCACTTGCCGATGCCTTTGGGTAAAATATCTAAACTTTGCATAAAATATCTAAATTTTCAATGAATAATAAACAAAACTATAAATTTGTTTAACGCTAAACTAATAATTTGTGCTTGAGAATATTTACTAAATAGCGTTGTCTTGCACACAATAACCGTAGAAGCGCTCCTCCTTTACTCCATACAGCACACGACATAGACTATACATATTGATGATGCGTACATTGTTATTGCTATTTTGGACCTCTAACCCAATTAGAGTTATACCTATATCATAATATATGTTTAACTATTTCCGGTGTATAATACAAAAGTGGTGCTGTTTGCTTTTAATTTCTTAGCTACTTTTGAGATGCTGTTATCTAGCTGCTTATATAAGTACATGCAGGCGTATATATGTATGTTGCGATGTTTCAGGTGCAACTTTATGTACGAGTATCTATGGTATGCCTAGTCATGCGGTTATAGTGTACACTCCACTTGTTCTACTAAATATATGCTCGTTTTTATTTTTGTTGTTTTTTTTTCGTTTAATTTTTTTCACCTATGTGTATAGATATATATATATGTATATATATGTAAGTATTAGTATTATTATTAGCCACAACAACAAAGTACATATTATGTTATTGTAAAATCAACGAAACACGTAAACTATGCGATCAAAGATATAAAAACAAACATAGATTACCGCTAACTTTGTGTAAGACAACATTTTAAAATCCTTGTCTAAATGGATTCGCTGGACCAGTAGGGCCTCTACTCCCGCCGCCGCCATCGTTCATTTGCTGTTGTTGTTGCTGTTGCTGATGCTGGAACGGGTTTGCGACGCGTTGTTGTGGAAGATGTCGCGTTTCCTGCTGCTGATAATTACCACCTTGCTCCTGATAGCCAGGTTGATATTGCTGTTGATAACCCTGATTTTGCTGATAACCGCCACCGCCGCCACCTCCGCCAGTTTGCTGGTAGCCGCCATCTTGTTGTTGATACTCATAGTTTGTATCGTCCACATTAGATTCCTGCTCCTGCTGATATTGTTGACCGTACTCGAGATGATTTTTGAAATCACCATCAATCGGTTTCTGATCGTGCATTACATAGGTTTGATATTCTTTGTTCGGTGGATCTTGCATGAGTATGTTGGCCTCATTTTCGAACGGTTTGAAATCGTAGATGTTGCGTAACTTGCGTAGCACGGGCACATACAGCAGATTGGAGAAGGCAATGATGAAGTTCAACGCTGTAAAACCGATCGCCTCTACTACACCGCCCGCAATGATGGGACCGACTGCGTATGCGATCGAATATGAAATATCGGCTATAGCATAAATACTGCCATACACGGATACATAGCGCACATCCACCAGGTAGCCCAGCGTTGGTAGGAGCGCTGTGTCGATGAGCGCGATGCCGAAGCAAATAATACAAATGGGTAACATAAGCATTTGGTAGGAGCTGGAGAACGGTATTATGAAGCAGGAGAAACCCTCGAGCGCTAAACCGACGGCGGCCATCAGCCATTGATGATGTGGATACTTTTTTGCCATTTTCACAGTGATGATGACACCCAGTACGTGTGGAAAGAAGGCGGGCAACCACACCATACCGATTTTCCAATTCTCTGTTGTTAGGTTATCCTCCATCCACAGCGATATGGTGGGTTCTAGGAAAGCTAACGCCACATTCGACATGGTCAACGCGCCGGCACAGACCGCAATGTATGGATCCATTAGCAAGCGCCATATAGGAATCGTTTGTTGTTGCACCTCTTTACTTTGCCTTATTTGATCTTTAACTGGTTTCATTACCAGCAGCAACATAAGACCATCCAAGAGACACACTAACGCCAAAATAAGAAATGGCACTTCCTTGCCGGCGAACTGATAGAGCGCACCACCGAACGGTGGCGCCACCAAACAACCGAAACTGATGAATGCCAATGCAATACCCAACGCCTGCGAACGTTCATTCTCCTCGGTAAAGCGATCCGCTATCATGGCTAAACCGGATGTGTCTGCAAAAGCCGAACCCGCACCTTGTAGCGAACGCGCAAAGAAGAGTAAACTGTAACTGCGGCCGCAAGCGAACATCGCTGTTGAGAAGAACATAATGGTCAAACCGATCATCATGGGTAAGTCGTAGCCAATGCGATCGATGAGACCACCTGAGAAGGGGTTCACCATCAATTGTACAATGGCCTTCGATGCGAATAGTATGCCGGTGGCAGAGTCTTGGCCATGATGGTCGTGGTGCACTGGTATAATTAGACCGGTGCGATTATCACGCAATGGCGGCGGCGTTGGTGTGTCATCATCGAAGCTGCCGATCTCACGCAAATAATCGGGTATAATGGGTACGATTACCATGTACAACATGTTGTCCAAAAGCAGCGCTATCGAGACTATTACTAAGATGAGACGACGTTGGTTGACGGGCTCTTGAATTTTCTCCCAAACGATTTCTTTGACCTCGCGCAGCTCGAGATTGAGCAACGGTATTTGAAATGAACCAGCCATGTTAGCAGACTTAAGTTAAATGTTTTGAAATGTTTAAATACGCTCTTTATTGCTGAATTGCTGAAGTTTTGTACTAAATATGGCGTAGCTCTCAGGTGCGCACTTTAATTGCTGTGTTGTGTCTTTAGCTCTGGCTAGACTCCTTTTAGTTCTTACTATCCTTTTTTAAACGCTATGCTGTGCTTTGTTGTTGTCTTATAATTAGTCCAAACACTTTCAGTTAGTTTCGGAACTTTTAATCTCATTTTTGTTGCATTTCACCGTTTTTGTATGCTTTGCAACTTTTGTGGGTTTACTGCTCAACTCGAGTTGGTTTGGAATGTAAAAACTTTTACATTAGTTGGTCTTCTCCGCAGTTTGTGATTTTACTAAATTTTGTTGTTGTTTTATTTGTTCTTCTTGTTTTTGTTACTAACAGGCACATTGTGTTCGTTTCCTTAGTGGTGTGTGTGAGTATGTGTGTGTGCTGGCTTAGCGTTGCTTTCGTTAAACTTCGGTTTTGTGGCCGCTGCTTTTGGCTTGTCGTACATTAGCTTTTCCCTCTGCACTCTACACTGGTTGTATGGCATATTTTTGCATTTTAGTAGGATCGTTGGCAACCGTCTGGACAACCTTTAACGACACAGAAACAAGATTTCCATTAGATTTCAATGTCAAGTACTTTTCATTTGCTTTTGCTTTATTGCCTTAAACTCAAGAGTTTTATTTGGATTTCTTCTTCAATTTCTTTTTCAAATTTTTTTGTATATTTATTTTGGCTGTCTTAGTGGAAAATCCTTTCAAAGTGTTTAGCTTTCTGAAAAGTTTTCGTTACATTCAGATGTCTGGGTTCCAAAACAACAACTAGCTTAGAATTTTATGATTGAAATGTTGTTTCTGTGAAGTGAAAGGACGTCCATTTTCATGCGTTTCGTTATCCGTTTGTATTGGAATTAATTTAATTGGCTTTGAATGTTTCTGATTAAAAATTTTGCAAACAACATGACAAATTAGTTAATTGAGTTGGCGTTCTACAAATTGCTAAATTTAATTACACGTAAATGGTGCTGAAATGCGTTGAAATGTTGCGCAGTCCATATGTGGTATAACAACATTGTTACAAAGTTTATTGAAAATTGTTTGTAATATTCTTAAATGGGTATATTCTTCATTCCACTAGTGACACACATTTCAATCATAAAAGTTATACAAACTACTCGCTACGCTTGGATTTCCGACACTGATGAAATTGACTTAGTATTTATATTATATAATGACTAGCAAAATTGTTGAGTATTCATAAAATATTACATAAATAATGTGGAAAATATAAGGATTCATATATTTGTTGTAATATTTTGTTTGATTATATAAACACATATACCTTGCTACTAGGAAAATGGTTTGAAATAATTTTTTTATATCGTACTTTTTAATACCAAATTAGTTTCGATTCTAATTGTTTGTTCATTGGTTGCGGGGATAACCTTACATAAATGTAGTTAAATATATTGAGAGTTAAGGAATGCATTGGGTTCTGTGATCTATTGTGCCCTCTCACGTTAGCACAACACTTCATTTAATCCAGTTGAATCTAAAAGGCTTAGTAAGGGTCCTCTGTTAATGATTGTGATATTTATAGGACAGTATCTCAATCTGTAAAGATAATATCTTAGTTTGCAGATACTTATGTAAAATACCACAAGCTGTCTTAGTTTATCTCTGGCGAGAACAATTTTGCATCGGACTGTCTAAGAAACAGCTCCGTCTGACGAAGCACGCGCTTTTATTGACAAACTTGATTTTTAAAGGAGAGATCTTAGGCTTAGTTGCCAGGGCTTGCTTCGGCAGTAGGTCGGCCAACTCAGCGCCATTTATTCTTTTATGCTCAGGGATGGATAAATGTAATTTTTTCCCGGTTAAGGACGCGGTATCATTTTTGATTTGATTTCTAGAGAGAAGATTGTTTGACGTGCCGCTTGACTAGTGTTGCGAATGACAATATGCTTGGTATTTTTTCAAAGTTACTTCTAAAACCCATGCTGTTTCTGCCAAGTGAAATTTTAAAACTTTATTGGAAATATATCCTATGGATGATGTCACCTCTAATAAAGAGCGCCATCATCAGATTTTCTACAACGAAACTCTGTTTTTAGGCGAATATTATACTGTTCCTTCCAAGTCCTGATAATAAACCTCAATTCCACAACAATATTGAGCGCAGTGAGGCACAGAATAACTTCTTCACACCCGTATTCGTTAGCTATTTCTCAATAGTTGTGTGGAGTGGATCCTAAGTAGTAGTAAGTCTCTTGCCCCAGTCTAGTAGTATGGCAGATTTGCAGACCCAGTTTCTTCTAGCTAGATGGAGGTTGTAAGATCTCACTTAGGTACAACGTTATCTACATAATAACATATTAACGTAATCAGACTACATAGAAAATTGGTTTAGTCGGTAATAGCAGGGAAGCTTATTGAAAGAACAAGTAAAGCACTTTTTATAATCGAAAGGCCTCAACTGGCAATATCGAGGACCAGCTATATCTTTGATAGAACTTGTTTCTTTAAAAATTTAATGTTAAACCAGAGTATGTTATACACGGCAACCTAGTATGGTAACGTTATTCTTATCGTTTGAAAAGAAAAGAGAGTTCCTCCGTACAAATAATAACTTACCTTATTTATTAAAAAACCCTGAGTAACTATATGATTAAGTAGATATACTTTTTTCCATCCCAAACGTAGTATGGCTGTGTAAATTGACTTTGAACAATACCAAAAGCTCTGTCAGGAACGGGAAGAACCTCTCCGAGCCGAGTTCGGTACCAAACGAGGTTTCAGACGAGGCGATTATTCATTGTGCGACTTCTTCAATCTATTTCGGTAGAAAATAGTTCGAGCTGGAGATCTGAATAGAAAAGGCACACTATTCTATATGACGATGCCGATGACATCGATAACATTGGTCATAAAAATAGCGCCGGTAGTTCTGCTTCTGCAGAGACATGGACGATGACATCACCTGATGAGTCAGCGTTCCGAGTTTATGTGAGAAAGGTTTTGCGGAAGATTTATGGTCCTTTGCGCACTGGCAACGGCGATTACCGCAGTCGATTTAAGATTCGAAGAAGATATACTTCAGATGATTTCAAGGTCTAGGTCGGTCAACCAGTTTGAACATTTTACATTTTTGAAGCGCGTTGGATGTTAGTTCGTGGCGTCATGAGCGAAAGGAAGATAAGGCTTTATTCAAGGCTAATATAYAAGTTTGAAAACTTTAATTCTTCTTCTTCTTTACTGGCGTAGACATATAGCCGAGTTAGCCATAGCGCGCCAGTCGTTTCTACGTTTTGCTATGTGACGCCAATTGGAGATTCCAAGCGAAGTCAGGTTTTTCTTCACCTGGCTTTCCAACAGAGTGGCGCTTATCCTCTTTCTCTTTACTACCTTGCCTACATCCATGCTTTCTCTAACAGCACAGCGTGTAACAATTTTGTACTCCATCATACGACAATACAGAAATTCTATTATAATAGAGCTTAATTTTCGTTTTAATTGCGCCGTATTATAGTCTCCGGTTGTACACTAAATAAACTAGTGCTGCTGCAAAATGTGGCAAACGAGTGCCTAGCCAACCATGAATCCTTGTGGAGCAATTTATCTAAGCCCTGCACTAACGTTTTCAGAACATGAAAACATGGAAATGTTGGTAATAATAACAACAAGCCACTGAAACAATTTGTAAAAAGAAAATGCGGAAAATGCGAAAATGCCTCAGGATAATGAATGGCGTAAGAGTGGGATATAGCAGGATATGCTAACAATGCACAAACAAAAGCATGAAAAAGATAGTAGGTAAAAGGCCGAGCCAGGCCAAATGCACTTGAATACGCTAACACGCCGCTGAATGCTGAGCCACCGAAAGAAAAGCGTGTTAGTAAATAATTATTTAGAAATGTAGTTGTATGCGTGGAGCAAGCATTCGAAAAAGCTCCGTACAAGTTCTAGCATTCATGGCAGCCAGCTAAAGGCCCTTGAGCTTTAAAGTGTATGTGAAGAGTGCGGTGGAGCAAAGAGGTGGTTAGAAAGGTGGAAACGCACAAATGCACTCAATGTGAAAAAATAAATAAATAAATATGCTCCGGCTGTATGCGCGTGTTCTTGTATTCAGCCCTAATTTCAACGCTTGTGTGAGGATTACATTTCACGAACACAGATCTTTGATGTTGAATTGCTTGTGGGGGGCACAGCCAGCAAAGTGGGGGTAAATTTGTACTCACTATTCGGTAAGTTGGTTGAGAAACTTGGCAGGTGTGTCGAGAAAGTAAATTTCATGCTTCCGCTGTTTTGTATATTGATTGTATACGAATTCACTTTTCGGTTATGTATTTGTGCAAGCCCAGAGTTTTACAGTTGAGCACAGAAAAAATCGATACAAATTTACTTTGTATAAGAAATAAAAAAAAGTGTTGTGAAAAAGAAATCAATCGGCAATAAGTTTTCTGTAGAATGACTATATTAGGTTGTCAAAAAAGTCTTGCGGTATTTTCGCTAGTTGGCGCTGAGAGCTTGTAGTTCTAGTTTTATTCGTTGCATCCGGTCATGCTATACCTTTTTGGAAAGCTCATTTCACGCTTTTGACAACCTATTATATTATCATCAAAGATGGCAAAGATTTTTGTTAGAGCTCTCTAACTAAAAAATTCTAAGGAATTATGTGAAAATGATATAATTATGTTTATATGTATATGTGCGTATAAAATTATTATTCTGAAGCATATAAAATATTGATGCAAAAATGGATTATGGTTATGGTACAGAGTGGGAATGTATTTATTACACCTTTCCGGCCACTTGGCGGATTATAATTTTTTAAGGGGTTACATGAGATAACGTTTTTCAAAAATCGTTTTTATATTGTCTTATTAAATTCTACAATATCTCTAGAATATTGTCCTCAAGCTGATCCGAGTACCAGGAGATACAGCCTTGAAAACTTATGCGCTCAAAGCTAGCTAGGCTAAGTGTGCTGTCTTTAAACGCTTGTGCTCGAAACTGTATTACCGAGTTTAAAATATTTTTTCCCCAACAATTTCAGAATTTCTTTGTTAATAGTGTATGATTGTAAACATAAAAATTTCTAATAAAAAGTTTATTTATTATATGAGAAAAAAATTTGGAAAAAACCTGTTTTTTACCCGAGGAACCCACGTAAAATATGTATATAATTATCCGTAATATGCCTCATCTGTATGAAGATCGATAGATTTAGAATTTTGATATTCCTGAACATTAAGAAAGATTGCATTTTGGTGCAAAACTTAATAAACTGTTGAATTCTGTTTTTTTAATTGCACACACTGTATTCGATTGCAGTGCTGCTTGCTTTTCAATATTCAAATTTAAAATATGTTATCAATTTATTTCCAACTGTAAGAGTATAAATGATATTATATAAGCTCTCCTAGCACACCTGCCTTGCTGGCCCCGGAATATTTATAATTAACTCAAGTGCATGGCATACGTGGGGGTCGACAAGCTCATTAAACAGCAACCACCAAACAACCCCCTGAAAGCAGTGAAGCAGTGAGCAAAAAATGTTCATATGACCAAAA